CAGAATAATTACGGGTATTATAGACGTTATACACATTACTAACCGATTGTTTCACAAGTCATGCAATACTAGCGATGCGTTCATTCAAATGAATCGTTTGGATAGCTGTTTGCTATCCAAGCGTTTCATTGCCTTTCAATGTCTTCCTAGTATTGACAGCCATTTAAATGGATTTAAAAGTGCTTTTAATGTACGAATTGTTTGTCTGTCGTGTAGTTTACTGGTGTTCATAACGTCGGCGCCCAATATCACCAGCGCCTCCGACCTGACGATAGAGAGTGCACTTCCGGTGAATAGTAATTTCAAGTGTGAAATCGGTAAATGAAAACTTGAGTTTGATTTTTGTTACGATTAACACAAATAAATAACATTTGATTGACTGAATTAACATTTGTTTTCAAAATAATTTTATAAGTGTTTTGTTGAAACTAAAAAAATCTCATTTGTTTTGCTAACCCTTTCTGTGGACTCTCTGGGTTTTACACTAACTATTAAAATATGATATTAAAGACGCGACTAATGTTTTTGGTGAGCATTTCTATTGATATTTTTTGGGCAATTATTAAGCTTGTAATTTGTTTGATTGTGATTTTTTTGTTGTTGACTATTGTTTGGTAATAAAAAATATGATTTTGAATTGACAGCCAATGCAGACCTGTATATAAAGATCACATCCGAGGGAAAGAAATATTTGTTTCAACTCTCATATCAAACGCAAACCAATACTTTTATCGTTGAGATTAATAAAGCCATTGAACGTAAGTTTAATCACTTGCGCTGTTTATTGTTATAAAGATCACATCCGAGGGAAAGAAATATTTGTTTCAACTCTCATATCAAACGCAAACCAATACTTTTATCGTTGAGATTAATAAAGCCATTGAACGTAAGTTTAATCACTTGCGCTGTTTATTGTATTTTTAATGATTATATTTTGTGCCTATTTTTAGTATTTTTAAAGAAATCCAATTCTGTGTCATTTGATTGGCTGAAGAATTACACGAATTCTATACAAAATGATTTTTTAACAAATTTTGATAATAATAGCAACGATTTTTGTAAATTTGAAGATAATTTCGCGGATATGCTATCATTCAGTGATAATAAAAATAACGGCAAAAGTAATGAGAAGTTACTGAAGAAGACTTCGAATCCGTTTTCGGACACAAATACCAATAGTTTATTCGATGTCAACGATCAGCACTTCACCGAAAACAACATGAAGTCTGTGCTCAACAAGACGACCAATAACGTAGGGAACAGTAGTTTCTATACGGAACCGGAATCCCCCGATGAGTTCAGTACCCTTCCCCGCCACTCGATTGCCTCGGGAGCCACACCACTGGCCGCTCGCGAGAGTGTCATCAGGGCTCAGATGACGATGAGAGAGGAGGACTTCACGTACTCGCAGACGTTTAGGGTGTTTATCGGCACCTGGAATGTGAACGGCCAGAGCGTGACCGAGAAGACACCTCTGGAGCACTATTGGCTCTCTTGTGATCCCAATCCGCCCGATATCTATGCGATCGGTTTCCAAGAACTGGACCTCTCGAAGGAGACGTTTCTGTTCAATGAGACGCCGAAAGAGGAGATGTGGTTCAGCGCGTGTCGGAAAGCGTTGCACCCGAAGGCTACTTACGATGTCGTCAAACTGGTCCGACTCATCGGAATGATGTTAGTTGTGTTCATTAGGCGAGACTTAAAACAATTCATTAGCAATATATCGGCCGAAATGGTGGGCACCGGACTTATGGGCCGAATGGTACGCATACAAAGGGTTGAAGTATTTTTAGTGTTTAACAAAAAATGGTTTATGTTTTACATTTTAAAGGGAAACAAAGGCGGAGTCGCCGTTAGGTTTGATTTCCACAACTCGTCGGTATGTTTCGTGAACAGCCATTTGGCGGCTCACGTCGAGGAGTATGAGCGCCGCAATCTTTTATGTTTTACATTTTAAAGGGAAACAAAGGCGGAGTCGCCGTTAGGTTTGATTTCCACAACTCGTCGGTATGTTTCGTGAACAGCCATTTGGCGGCTCACGTCGAGGAGTATGAGCGCCGCAATCAGGACTTCAATGAGATCTGTTCCCGACTAGTGTTCAATCAATTCAAACCTCCCAAATGTATCAATGATCACGAGTTAGTTACCATTTGATATCCACGAGCTGATCCGTTTATACAAATAGTCGTGTTTTTGATTTATAGTCACGTCTATTGGTTCGGAGATCTAAACTATCGACTGATGGACTTGAGTACAGCAGAGGTGAAGAATATGCTGGACGTGAAGGCCTATCAGCCGCTGTTAGAGAAGGATCAGCTGACGGACCAAATGAAGCAGAAGAACGTGTTTGTGGGCTATACTGAGGGCCATATCGCGCATTTGCCGACCTATAAGTACGATCCGGGGACAGACAACTGGGACTCCAGTGAGAAGAGTCGACCGCCCGCGTGGTGCGACCGCGTGCTGTGGCGCACAAAACAGCCCACACAACAACTCACGTACAGAAGTCACCCACAGCTCAAACTCAGTGATCATAAACCGGTGAGCGCTCTGTTCGAGGCGTCCATTAAAGTGATCGACGATAAGAAGTACAGAAAGATCTACGAAGAGGTGATGAAAAAGTTGGATAAACTGGAGAACGAGTTCTTACCGCAAGTGGCCGTCGATAAGATGGAAGTGGTGTTCAAATCGGTGTCGTTTAAGGAGAAGCGCGTGCATAAGCTGACGATTGCCAACACGGGTCAGGTGCCACTCAGGTTCGAGTTCATCAAAAAGCCCAACGAAGTGTCTTATTGTAAGAAATGGCTGCAAATAAAGCCCTACACGGAGGGCATAATGCCCGGATCATCCATAGACATCGACATCGAAGTGAACGTCGATAAGACTACAGCGCCTCGACTTAATAGCGGTTTAGAAGAGTTAACGGATATAATTGTATTGCATTTAGACGGCGGCAAAGACCTGTTCATCACAGTGTCCGGTGCTTACGAGCGCAGTTGCTTCGGGTGCTCTATAGAGACGTTGGTGCGCCTCAAGAGTCCACTCAATCAAGTGGCCAAAGACGTGATTGAAAAGTTAGAGCGCCGACAGTATGAGAAGATGGAGCCCGTGTGGGACATACCCAAAGAGTTGTGGGTTCTGGTGGATCAGCTGTACAAATACGGAATGTTAACCAACGAGCTGTTCCAACAGACGGGTCTTCACACAGAGTTTGTGGTCGTAAGGAATTGTCTGGACTCGGGATATGGCGAGAAGTTTAACGTCAGCGTACACTCATTGGCCGAGTCGTTGATTTTGTTTCTGGACGCCCTGTCAGAGCCGGTCATACCATACGCTTTCTACGACCGGTCGCTCGAGAGTAGTAATAATTTCTTGAACTCCAAACAAGTGAGACATGAGTTGATTTGCAAATGATCTCATTTATAATGAATTTATGTTTGTTTTTGATGTTTAGGTTATCAACGAAATACCAGAATATCATCGAAATGTGTTTTACTATTTGATTGCCTTTTTGAGGGAACTCTTAAGGCATTCAAATACTAATAAACTCGACGCTAAACTATTGGGTAAGAAATGGATTAATTTGAATGCAATTAATGGTTTGTTTTGTAAACTTACTTTAAAGCGTCGATTTTTGGCTCAATTTTGTTGAGGTCTCCGGAGAACTCAGCGTTTAATGAAAGGAACCGAAGTCAGCAAAGCATTCATAAGAGCACCGATAGTATGAATTCTTCATTCAAATCACACCTTCAGCCACACCTGCAGGCAATCGACCGCAAAAAGGATGCCTTCATATTCCACTTCTTAGTCAATGATTTCGATATATAATTGTTTTTGAAAGTAAATATTGTTTTTAGTCTTTTTTTGTTTCATTTGATTACGCGAAAGATTATACAAAACATATAAACATATAATTGTTGATGAAATTAAATGGTTGTTTTTTTATATATCAAGCAATTGGCTGTATATTTATTTAAGAATAATTTTTTTATTTATTGATTATTAATTTGTTACGAATCGGATTCAAATCACATTTTTTAAAACTATGGTTTGTTTCTATGCATAAATATGTAAATTCAAATAAATTTTAATAAATCGCAATTTAAAGCATATTTAAATTTTAATGAATAAAATTTATTCTAATAAAAGTACGTGGGTTACACAAAATAAAATTTAAATATCTGAATAGTAAAAGTTTAAATGAGAAATAAATTGAACAAAAAGTAAAAATAAATTGGAATTTATTTTTATTTTATTAATGATTTTAATGTAAAAAATATACAACAGATTAGATTATATTAAGTTGTAGTGTAAGGGATGGGATGAATGTTTTAAATAATAATTAATCGATAAGATTTGAATAGTAAAGTGTAGACAATTGAATTGATATAATAAGTAAAATCTGACTAAAACTTAAGCTGCGATTATTGGGCTTAAAATATATGACAATCTATTTAAATGCAAATTAATTAAAATATTATAACAAATGGTTTGTTGTTAATGAGAAATATTTTGACTGAATTATATTTCCTATCATTGATTACAATATATATGGTGTAAAGTATTTAGTGGTTTTCAATCAATAATTCAGTCACTCATTAGTGGTGTGTTTTAGAGATAATAACATTTCAGACAAAAAAATCTCAAAATAAAAATCGGTTTTAAAATCTCACTGTTTTGTGGCCAACAAAAACCGTTTCAGTTATCAAATACAACCGATATTTGAATTACGAGTTTAGCACCAATTCGTGAATTCAGTTCATATCAACCGTTTGGTCACAAAATTGGTTCACAGAAAACAAAACAAAATAAAAATAAATAAGTTTTTTCGTGTGATTATAGTAACTGTAGATATAATTCTATAATAAGTGTTAAAACTTATAACAAAAAAAGTGTGTTAACAGTAGAGCCTATGAGAGCTGGAGCTTGGATTTGGCGCACTCAGAGCACAACACGTCCGGCCCGTCCGTTATGAAGCCCTTGTTGGACAGCGGCGTCTGACAGCCCGTACACACAAAACAGTCGTCGTGCCAATGCCTGTCCTCAAACGTTACAAACTTAGTGCCGCCCACTCCTGTAAGTACACCAAAACAACACATCAGGATATTAATAGTCAGGTGCTGTGGGTGTCTAACATACCCGCTATACCTTTGGCGACAATGGGTTTGAGACAATTGCTGCATTTCGGTGCAAACATATCGCCGTAACACGTCTGACAGTACGGCTTATCGTCTTTTAGGCTAAACTTAACGCCGGACAGGGATGTGCTGCAGGCGCTGCATATGAAGCACTCCTTATGCCAGGGCTCGCCTTTGAATGTAAGTCCGCCGGCGTTTATAATCTGTTCAATCGATTCAAACGTTAATTTATTTGATGACAAAAATAAGTGATTTGTTTGCAGACATACTTCGCTGCATTTGACACAACGGGCCGCGTATTTAGTCTCAAAACAGTCGGTGCAGAAGATGTCGTTCTCTCTGGGAATAAAGGTTTTGGTGCCGATCGGGACCTGACATTTGAAACACGAAAAGCAATTCTCGTGCCATTGTTTCCCCTTATACTCCATTTTCTTAGTCCCTGTAATCGGTTCATACAAACAGTAATTAATGCATTCAATCGATTTCGTTATGAATAATCAAATTTTTGGGATTCTTGGGACCCATGAAATGCATACCGGCTTTGAATATCTCTCCGCATCCGTCGCAATGAGAGGCAAACTCCACGTCATAACAGTCGGCGCAATAGATGCGCTCGTTTTTCGACCCAAACTGTTGGTCCACAAGTGACTTCTTGCACGTATGGCATAAAAAGCAAGTCTCGTGCCAATGCTTCTCCTTATAGGCCAAGTCCTATGCAAACAATAAAATAAAAAACTCATTACAATACGTGTTAACACAACACTTGAAAGCGGATACTATTTGGCATTTGTTATGAATGTATAAATTAAATGAAAAGTGAGTATCGATTGGAACCGATTGAGGGATACCTTGGAGTCGATGCCAATTGGTTTCGTACACTCTTCGCAGACATTCGCGTGGATCTGTTCGAAGCATTTGACACAAAACGGGTGTTCCTCCCGAAGCACATACCGTAAGCCAGTCAGCGATGCGTCGCATTGCCAGCAACAGAAGTGCCCCGAATGCCAGTCTTTGGACATGGCTTTCGTGTACTCTCCAGAAAATATTAACTGAAAAATACATGTTT